CTATGCATTGAGATTGAAATTTGACCAATCAGAACAAGGAAATTTTAGTTCCTTTTATCTTGATTGGTCAAATTTCAATCTTCAATACGCAGTCTGATACGAGCTTTATAAATTTTCAGTACTGGCTGTGAATTTCGGAACACAGCTCTGAAATTTACGCTATAGATGGCGCAGAAGTCCAACAAAAAACCGGATATCGATATATCGGATCTTGAAAAAATTGTACGAAAAAATCGATTATTTTACGAAATAAAATCGGATCTTTCGATATATCGGATAAAATCGCCCATCACTACCCAGACAGCACAAAACGTCCTCAGGATCATCCTGAATATGTCCAGGATGGTTCAGGATATTTGTAGGATGTTTTAAGATATTATTATAAATATATTTTATGAAAATTTAATATGCATACATGATTACTTTCGGTTATGTAGGCTATTTAATATAATTTAGAAATTTTAAGTATTGTAATAAGTATTAATGTCCTATAAATGTCCATTGGATAACCCCTGGATGTCTGTAGGATATCTGCCCTGTCTATTACCCAGACAGCACAAGGATGTCCTTAGGACGTCCAAAGGGCATCCAATATAATAGACAGGGCAAATATCCTACAGACATCCAGGGGTTATCCAATGGACATTTATAGGACATTAATACTTATTACAATACTTAAAATTTCTAAATTAAATTAAATAGCCTACATAACCGAAAGTAATCATGTATGCATATTAAATTTTCATAAAATATATTTATAATAATATCTTAAAACATCCTACAAATATCCTGAACCATCCTGGACATATTCAGGATGAACCTGAGGACATTTTGTGCTGTCTGGGTCACTATGTAGAAAAAGCAAAATCTCGCAAGCTTACAAATATATGTTTAATACTACAAACACAATAATGAGATATTAAAACAGTGACATACGCGAGGTTAGGATATCTGTCATATGTGCAGTAGGCAATGTATAAAAACGTTCTGTTAAAATATTTTTATTATTTATATATGGGTTTATTTTTTGTATATATATATTTTTCCTGTTGTTTGCTATCCGTAAACAATTAATAATTGTACTCTTTCGAAATTAAAATTCCACATATATCACGACATCGTGAGATTTTACGTGCAAAAGAGTACCGTACAATTATTAAATGTTTACAGACAATATATCATACATAAAACACAGATATACAACAAAAAAACCATATATAAATAAAAACATTCTAACAGGTCGTTTTTATATATTGCTTACTGCATACATGACAGATATCCTAACCTCATGTATGTCACTATTTTAATATCTTATTATCAGTTTTCAGTATCAAACATATTTGTAAGTTTACGAGATTTTGCTCTTCGTACAAAATGACATTGGGTAAGTATTCTTTGCTAATGTGATAGAACTTGGGTACTTTAGTAATGTGGGACAGTTCTTATTGTTAAATATAAATAATAAGACATTACAATTAAAAACGAGTATTTTCTGTTATATCTTCTTAGCTTATAATACAAG